CAATATTTAGCCAATGTTGCTCGTGTCATGAAGCGAATGATACCAAGTAGTGGGAAAATAGCGAAGGATGCTAAGGAATGTGTTCAAGAATGCGTTTCTGAATTCATATCGTTCATCACTAGTGAAGCTAATGATAAGTGTATGAGTGTAAGTTGAAATTTTCAACTAGCTGTGCATCTTTCTTTCCTTACTGTATATTTCCCTCTTCATTATTGAAACATTAGGGTGTCTTTAAGGAGAAGAGGAAGACGATAAGTGCTGATGATCTTCTGGAAGCGATAAACAATATGGGCTTCGACAACTATGTGGCTCCCCTTCAACTGTTTCTGGAGAGGTGTGCTTTTAGTGCGCGCTCTTCTAACCACGGAAGTAATTCAGGAGCGTTTTTCGAAACGGTTGTCCATGATGTAAAGGAGCAAGGCATGAACTTTGAACCTGAGTCTCATGTTTCTCCCTCCGCGGCTCTGGAAATGCCAGAAAATGGGTGAAAAATAATCTTTAGAAACTGCGCCTTGTACAATTTGAATGTATGCGACATCATCTCATCTGCTTGCTGAATAATGGCATCTGCAAGCTGCAAATTGAACGCCTCGAAAATGGCAATGTAGGGTCTTATCTGGCACGTAGTGAATAGAGAGCGGTGTTTTTACATTCCTTAGCAGACAGTGTGAGCTATCATTGATGGCATAGCCTAGTGGCTTTTAAGTTGGAGCATTATCAGCTACTACGGCAAAGTTCCACGTGTTCTGTCCATCTCAGGAAACCTGCACTTTTATCGGTTTCAGTTTTCCTGAATATTCCTTAGGTTCACTTTTCCCCTAAAGGTAAATTGCATTTACGATGAAACCTAACCAAAAAGGAATAATTACACCACAGCAAGAGCACCCAAAAAAGGTGAAGGGATAGCATTTGTTACCTTCTCCATAGGGACAGTGGGTTCCTCATTGGTCGCATGATCGTTAGGGGATGAGAAAGGTCCGGCACGCGACCTAAGGCTGCGTTCATACTTTGCTTTAGCGTACGCCAGCGTTCTCGTAAACGGTCTGAGCTTGAGCAAAAGTGCCTGCGAAAATGCTTGCATACTGCTACTGGGCGCTCGTAAAGCTAGATCGATATACTTTCCTAGTCGTTTGAAACGCCGCTGCACGCCGGTAAAGCTGGCGCCGCTTTCGCAAAGTATGAATACACCCAACGTATCAAAGGCCTCTCTGGAATGTACCAAACAAGCACGAAACATGTAAGTGCTTGCGCTGAAAATGGTAGGATTGCTCTGAATAGTATGAATTCATATCTACAAGTGCACGAAGTTGGCGGCAGGATGATGCCATAGTGAGAAAATGAGTGCCATATACGTGATTAGGGCATAAGATAGCTCCATTCCAGATGTTTCGCGAAGAGTTTTCTTGCTAATATTTCGGGGTCACATGGATACAGACAAAGCTAAATTTGAACTATTGAGCAACACAAGGACAGACTAGCTAATATAATCACTCATTCACTGGCCGCTGTTTTTTTTTGAATAACAAAGAGAATAGATAGAAAAGTGATATTTTAGCTTTAGGATGAGTAAATCCCTCCTTCACCAATGACCCGCTCCCAGTGCCCCGAGGGCCTTTGGACCTCTGGTACCTTCGATTTTTCAAGTTTCATGGCTGTTGGCAAGTTCGGCAATACACAAAATTGTAGCCGTCGAGGGTACCTCATACTGAATAGAACAGTTTAGATCGCCATGCTTTATATCAGCGATGGGGCGTTACCCAGTCTCATATGTTTGTGTCCCAGCACTGGTCTACAATGCAGTTACTCGGGGTCTGGCACTATGACGAGCAACGGTGGCCTTCTTGTAGTTGTGTGGTAACATCCATTTGTCGATCTGAATGCCGAGGAACAGGTAATATGGACCGACATTGACGGATTTGTTCTATAAGCCGCGAAATCCACAATGTGAGAATCCCTTTGCGTAAGATTATCCAGCTTTGCGTCCACTGTACTTCTTCATTGAGAACTCGGCGGTCTTCTTCCTGCATTCATACAACAAATTGAGCGATGTGAATTCGGCTCGAGTCCGAGACCACGCCATATTTCCCCAGCTGGTGCGTTTTCACAGATCGTTGTGAGTGCAATCTCATGCTACAAATTACTGCTAGAGGTATAAATCAGTATGGCGTCGCTCGCTTCTTATACGAATTTCTACAAGAAAATTGGGTACCCATGCGCACACCCCCTTGACCATCCTCAGTTTATCGGTCATAACACGTACAGTAATTGCAGCAGGGATGTCAGTCTCGCGGGGAAACCCGACAAAGGTCCAGGCTCTGTGATCAGATATTCAGTGCCTGACTTCATCCACCCGTTTTTCTTGTGCAGGATGAATATTATGGGACCATCCACGACAACAAATTTTTTCCTTTCTTCCTTGTACTCCTGAACCAAATCTTCCACCGTGTATTTCGAGAACACCCTTACACACAACTATGGTCCGGCGCAGGTCAAATTTGAGCAGCGCACTTTCCTCTTATGACGTCTGATTTGAAAAACCGGCGCCGATTTTCACCACTCGGGCTTCTTTTCAATTTCTCGAGAACTTCTTCTGGGGCTAGGTTCGCCAAATTTCACAGATACACAGCTTAAGGTACTAGCTTCCAAATGGTAGTAGCCCGCTGCTCTATCCCCTTTGCTTTTCTGCCATTCCTCTATATGTAGCGGCCACGTTTGAATGGGATGACCTAATACTTCCATACAGACACAAATAGGCAAGGAAATTTTGAAACTGCAGAAATCTGTGAGCATGGGGAAATGATTCCTGTATCTGCACTGTTGCCTTGCTATTGAGAGTGCAACTTGCCAACCACTTCGCCATTCGGTTGCTGGTAGCGAATAATGCTTTGAATTCTCAGGGACTTCTAACTCCCACTGTGTGCCGTAATTAATACCTCATCGACGGCCTTATTTTAGACCGTTTGCGCAGATTACGAACACCATTCCCCAGCAAGTCAATTCACTGAGCTGAAACGCACTGTGGTCTATGCCTCTATGCTGTCACATGTCTATGCCTCTACATTGCTGAAAACCGGTTAAAAAGCGCTCCACGTCCTGGGAGCTCCTTGATGAACTAGTTT